CAAATATTTATTGACCGTGTCCATGCATGGTGTTATGGACTTGGGATACTACACGAGGAAAGTCATATGTTGTCCCCACTTATATGGAATCAAGACCTCAGTGGGCGATATACATATTAATCAAATGATATCCAAAATTAATAAAAATTGCCATTGCAGTAACTGTTCAATGATATTATACTAGAAAAAGGTTAAGAAAGATGACTGAGTTGAAATCTAAAGGATGTCAACCCAAAGGTAGGCAAGTATGACTGAGCTGAGGTTTAAGGATTAACCATATGGGAGTGGTTAGACATTCCAGGAAAGGAGAAGAGCATGTGCAAAGACCCTGGTAGAAGCAAGTTGGAAATTAGTACTTTCTTTTCTATTCTCTGGGAGATTTTGTGTAAAATCAGTGTTATTTTTTCTGTCAATATTTGTAAGAATTCACTGGTGAAGCTTATGGGCCTGGAGTATCTTCTTGAGAGAAATTTTAATTATAGATTCAATAATAATGGATTTGGGAGTAATTACATTTTTACTTCTTGTATTATTTTTGGTAAATTGTGTTTTCTAAGGAATTTATAAAATTGCTTTTAAATCTGAAAATTTATTGGCATGAAGTAGTTCATATTATTTTCTTATGATCTTTTTAACTACTGTAAGTTATATAACTATAATTTTTAATGACTAGGATATATGGATATGTCCTTTTTTATTCCTGCAATCAATAACTTTTGCCTTCTTTCTTTTTAAGTCCATCTTGCTAAAAGTTTGACAATTTTCTCAGTCTTTTTCTTTTTTAAAAGATTTTATTTATTTATTGAGAGAGAGGGAGAGAGAGCACGTGCAAGTGTGAAAGCAGGTGGGGGGGGTGCAGAGGGAGAGAAAGGATCCCAAGCGGACTCACTGCAGAGCAGGGAGCCCAATGCGGAGCTCGCTTTCACGACCCTGAGATCATGACTTGAGCTGAAACCAACAGTTGGATGCTTCACTGACTGAGCCACCCAGGTGCCCCTCAATTTTATTAGTCTTTAAAAAAACTGTTGGTTCTGATGATATTTTCTATAACATGCTTGTTTTTATTAATATCTGCTCTGTCGATCATCTAGTTTTGTGAACTCCTGTTTCTTTCGCTTTTTGAGCGTATTTTCCTATCTCTTTGCTCTATTTACTTATTTAAGATTTCATTTATTTGAGAGAGACAGAGCATGCACAAACAGGGGGATCATCAGCGGGAGAGGGAGATAATCTCCAGCAGACTCCATGCTGATCACAGAGCCCCATGTGGGTCTCAATCCCAGGACCCCGAGATCATGACCTGAGCCAAAATCAAGAGTCTGACGCTTAACCGACTGAGCCACTCAGGTGCCCCTCTACTTATTTCTGATTAACAATGTACATGAAAAGTTGTGGGAATAATTTAGATTTATGGTGACATTATCTTCTTTCGGAGAGAGTTTGTTTCTGACTGGTAGCTACATTCACTGGCTGTCCAGATCACACTAAACTAATTTTAAGAACTGAATTGATATTAGCATGGGCCCATTTAATTCACTTTTTTCCCTATGCTGCAACCTTTCAAAGTCCCAAACCAAATCGTGGCGATTAACCAGGAATTCTCCCTCATTGTTCCCCTAAACCTTATAACATGGTCATAAACGTTCCTCAGACTTTTGCCTCTCATCTGCCTTTTGCAGGGTTCATAAATGCCTAGAGCCACAGCAGCCCCAAATATTGGGACTGTTTCTCTGGCCTTGCCTTTTTCACCCAAATCCTAGACCCAAATCCTAATTTTTCTCTGCCTTTTTATCTCTCTGATGCCTTGAAAAATTTAAAAAAAAAAAACCATCTGTTTTTTTCTAGGATGTCATAGTTGGAAAGTTAGCTTGATTTCCCCATCTATCATAAGGAAGTAAAAATTCTAAAGTCCATTTTTGTTTATTCAGTTATTTTTTTTAAAAATGACCATGTTATTTATAGATTTACACATTATTTCATGCCACCAATCATGATCACAGTATTTCTATTTTACAAATATAATAATTTTAATAGAGAAAGTAAGTTCCAAAAGGGTATGGAATTCTGTTCAATGATGTTTAACCCTGAACAGTGCCTAGCACTTAGTAGGCTCTCAATATTTTTGCAATTAAAATGGAATCAGATCTTCAGCACTCAAGTGGATGATCATGAAGTCTTTGTTCATTTACTATAGGGTGGTTGGCTATCACTTTTTCAAATATATAACTGGATGTAGCTTGAAGATAATATGTGAGGAATATTTACATGACATGTTATATATAGCAAGCTTTCTTTATTTTGTTTGGACCTCTGGGTGTTCTTTTCATTGTATGATTCAAGTAGCTCCCCTTATCATGAGAATTTACATAGGCAATAAATCTATGAAAAGTGAATCCATATTGTAAACAGACTATTGTATATCCATTTACAAATATTTAGTTCAAGTCTAAATATATGTATCTAGTTATAATATGGTTCTGGTGTTTATTATCCACTGTTTTTCACTAGGATTTTGATGAATTTCTTAGCTAGGAGTGACTTAATGTCTCAAGCCTGGTTCAGTCTGGATCTTTGCTCTTTGCTTTGATCTGTGCCTTTGACTCACATGTGAGCCTCAGAATTTTGTCTTTGGCTGAATACATCTGGTTCATTCCAGCAGTCAGATACATTGCTGATAAGCTAAAATAGAAAGTTCTTTTCTTTATTTAAAATCGCTTCAAAGTTATAAGCCCTGCCAATACATAGCTCAATGGTTATATTTTAACTCTACAGCTATTCCTATGTGCAATACAGGGACTGCTGAAAATTCATACAGCTCTCCTATATCAGTCTCTCTGAATACAAGGGCTCAGCTCAAGTTGGGTGGTTTAAGAGTCCTTCACAAATTTAGGCAAAACACCTAAGTGTTGAATGCTACACTTCTCAATAAAGTTTGGTCACAAAAAAATATTTTTGAGGACACAACTGATATCATCATTTATTTTTATTAAAGGTTTTGGATAAGAAAATAACACATTCTTGGGGCACCTGGGTGTCTCAGTCAGCTAAGCAACTGACTCGGTTTTGGCTCAGGTCATGGCTCAGGTCATGATCTCACAGTTGTGGGATTGAGCCCCGGGTCGGGCTCTGTGCTCAGCGTGGAGTCTGCTTCAGATTCTCTCTCCCTCTCCCTCCCACTCACTCTCTCTCTCAAATAAACAAACAAACAAATAAATAAAATCTTTAAAAAAAGAAAATAGTACATTCTCTAATCCAAAGCCCCTTTTTTTTAATAGCTTTTTCTTCTATCCCTGTACAATGTCTTTCCTCCAGTTATATTCTCTTGGGTCTAGGACTGGGTTAGCAGATTAGCAGAGGAATTTTTCTAGTCACTGTTTCATTCCCACTTTGAGTTATCCACGCACGAGTAATGTAAGGTGAGACTCGGACTCATGGTATATGATTCCACATTTTGACCCAACTTGGACCCTAAGGACATAAATGCAATGGTTATGGCTCAACTATGACATTGGTAACCCGAGCCCAGAAAGCCAGCAATTCTACCTGTTATGATCATGGGAAAATACTCCATTGTTGTGAAGACTGCCAACCTGTGTACAAATATTAACAACCTAGTAATATCGCTCGTCTCATAGTCAGGACTGATGCCAATACAGAAAACCACTAGGAAAAGGTATGGCGGCAAGAAGGTATTCCCAAGAGCAACACTTACATTTGAAGTGGTTTTATGTCTGCTCCCCCCAGTCAAAGACTGCGGCTCTGCTGTACTTGTAGCCTGGATGCTTCATCTCTTGACTTTCACCACTCTTGATCTGGGGGCAGAAAGGACTATCTCTATTTAGTCACATGGTGGTGTCAGTATCACCTGACCTTTGGCCAAGGCCACTGTGCACATGTGATACAAAGGGAATAGGGTAAGATAATGGCCCTAAGTCTGGGCTGGAGAACAATGCCAGGTTCAAACCTTGCCTCTCCTCATTCAAGTTTTGGGAGCAAGTTACCTAACATTCTCATTGGTAAAATGGATGTAATAATAGTACTTAACTCTTGGAGGTGTTGAGAGAATTAAATGAAATAATCTGTAATAAGCACTTAGCAGGGTGACTGGCCCATAATGAGCTCTCAGTACACATTAGTATTATTTATACAGAAAATCTTTCTCTTTATAAAACTGAAGATTTATTTGAAAGGGCTTAAACTCAGAGTTGTTGTGTCAACTAAGAACCTGCGTAATTTGGACTTAAGGTTTTTTTTTTTTTTAGATGAAAATCTTTGCTGTGGCCAAAGATCGTGTTCTAGCGCTCCTTCTTAGCCGTCCCATGAATACGATTTCTGTGCTCTGCTGTAATAGACTGACCGTATTGTCTGCCTACTCTGCCTGCCTGGGATATGTGAACTATGCCAAGCCTCCCTTACCTATGAATACTTCCTCACACTGCTTCCCTGCATTTCTCTCCCACAACATATTTGAGGCGGTTATCACAATACTCATGGACATTTTCCTCTCTTTCTTCTCTTTCAGTAAGAATTCTTAATTGTGCAGACTCAGGATTGAGAGTGACCAAGATGCCTGAATGCGCGTGCGCACGCGCGCACAGACACAGACACACACACACACACACACACACACACACACACACTTTCTCTCATTCATGCTCATATAATTTAGTCTGGTATAGGATTCAGTTCTGGAGTCTTTTCCAAAGCATTAAAGACTAAGCACTTCTTAAAAATTTAAGATCGACCAAAAATTTTTTTGAAGGTTCAAATAGTACTCTCATCTTTATAAAAATTTTTGGACACTAAACGGAAACATTATGTGGGCTTTCTTTTGTCCTAACGGGTGATTCATTGCCCGGTCCTGACACTGCTTTTCCCCATTGGGTCTCTGTGAGAGTCACGTGCTTTGGACATCTTTGAAAAGATCTTCTGAGGCTTTAGCATCTCATTTGAGTCTCCTAAATCTCACCTAGAGCTGTGTTGAATTCTCATCCATCACAATGAGCAACAAATTCCTGGGCACCTGGAAACTTGTCTCCAGTGAGCACTTCGATGATTACATGAAAGCTCTGGGTAAGAAACGTTCCTTGTAGCTCTGGTTGGGAAGATCCTTTTTTGTGAAAGCTGCATGACTATTTCCTGCTAACTCCTTTTTCAGGACTCTGGGGAAGTTGCACAGGCTCAAGTACAATCCTTTTCTGCAATTAAACTTCTGTTGTGTCATTCCAATAGTTTATTGCATTTTGTTTGTGGAAATTTTAAGAGATTTTAACCTAAGAGCCGCTTAATCGCGTGGAACTCCCACTGATTTCAAAGGTAGTTTCGTATCAGCAGGGCTTTGCTTTCAGAGGAAAGAAATCTTAGAGGCTTAGGCAACCCATCCTCTGGCTTTCCTGAAGGTTCGTTTTATAAAAGCTGAAGTGCTCATAAGATAAGGAGTTGAAAATACTGAAGTTAATAGAAAGCCTCAATTTAAAATTTTGGTGTTTAGCCAAACCACAAGTTCACACTACTTTCCTGGAGTTGGAGCCATGAACGAAAGACAGAAAATCCAGTCAATAGTTTTATCAACTTCATCTTATACTATTTCTAGAGAATGTTGCATGATATGAGCACAACAGGTATGAAGTGTCTTTGGAAATTTCCAGAGCTATTTAAGTAGGCTAGAAAGTGATGCCAATGACCCAGGTTGCTATGCTTGACAAACGGCCTGTAACTTTACTTAGCTGTTCAGAAAGCTCGAGAGAAGAGTTGTATTTTTAGGTAAAATGAGCAAAATCGTGTCATATTGCCCAGAACACTATGAGAATTTATGGGTACAAATCCATACTATGAGGTTGGTTAGATTTATGGACTTGTCTTTACAGTTGAGGAAGAAGCAAAATATAAGAGCCTCAATGAAGGACTCCCTAATTCTGTCATTTTTCAAATTTAGAATGCATAAGATCACTTCGGGGTTTGGTATAGTGTAAATTCTCAGGCTCAACTGCAGAGATTATATATAATATATATATTCATATATTTATATGAAAGTAGTTTTTCCTTCATTTATTTCTCTCATTTGACATTTCTCCTTTTCCCTGTATTTCTATAGTTTTAGTAATAATAGTAATAAAACTTGAGAGTCTAATTTTGTTTTGTTTTTCAGATGGCGAACATTTTAAAAAATTAGTTTATTTATGATTACGTGTAATGGTACAGATCTTGAAAGGAGATGGATAGATTTTCCCTACCAGTTAAACTTAGGGGCCACAACAAAATTTCAGAAATATGATTCTATTAAGGATGTGGGGAGGTGCGTCTGGGTGGCTCAGTCATTAGGCGTCTGCCTTTGGCTCAGGTCATGATCCCAGGGTCCTGGAAGTGAACCCCGTGTCAGGCTCCCTGCTCCACGGGAAGCCTGCTTCTCCCTCTCCCACTCCCCCTCCTTGTGTTCCCTCTCTCACTGTGTGTCTCTCTGTCAAATAAATAAAATCTTTAAAAAAAAAAAAAAAGGATGTGGGGAGAGTTCTTTTCTATATACATAATGTATTACTGAGGAGAAAAAATTCATAGAACAGTATGTATCTGTCATAGTTGCATTTTAAAAATACCTAGAATATTTATATGTAAAAACTAAAATGTCTGGAATGATTCATACAAAACACTGGTGATTTTCAAAGACTGTGGGATTGGATGTGGTAAGAGGGGATGACTTGCACTATTTAGGCTAAGCACGTTTATCTTTAAAATCTGCAGACATTACTCTTGTAATAATAAAACTTAAAATATTTAAGCCGATGGACATGTATTTCCATTAGGTGGTGAAACATGGGAGGAGGTCCTCAGTAGTCAGTGATACTACCTGCGATTTCCACACCTGAGCATAGAATGCAGACATGCATAGTCTCTCTAGGTACATCTCTTTGTCAACGTAATTCTAACACTATCTTGATCTACAGGTGTGGGGTTAGCCACCAGAAAACTGGGAAATTTGGCCAAACCCCGTGTGATCATCAGCAAGAAAGGAGATATTATAACTATAAGAACTGAAAGTACGTTTAAAAATACGGAGATCTCCTTTAAGTTAGGTCAGGAATTTGAAGAAACCACAGCTGACAACAGGAAAACAAAGGTAAATTTTAATGTTTCTCTTCAAAGTTGGCTCGTTCTCCAGCTTGGGAGGATGATTTCTGTTAGTGTTCATAAGGGTAGACTACCCCATTCTATTGAAAACTGGGGCACCTGGGTGGCTCAGTCGGTTAAGTGTCTGCCTTGGGCTCAGGTCATGATCCCCCCGGGTCCTGGGACTGAGTTCCACATCGAGCTCCCTGCTCAGCGGGGAGTCTGCTTCTCCCTCTGCCTGCTGCTCCCCCTGCTTGTGTGCTCTCTCTCTCTCTCAAATAAATAAATAAAATAAAATAAAATAAAAAGAAAATGAATGTGCCTTGGGGGAGCCTTGCTTGATCTCAGGATTGTGAGTTGGAGCCCCACGTCGGGTGTGGAGCCTACTGTAAAAATAAATAAATGAAATGAAATGAAATGAAATGAAATGAAATGAAATGAAATAGAAAATGAATGTGCTTCATGAGACATCTATTATGAAAACAATTCGATACTGAATGAACTGCTTCCTTAATCAACCAAAGTCCAAGCAACTCAATTATGTGAATTTGTCTTTGCAGAGCATTGTAACCTCGTCAAGAGGCTCATTGAATCAAGTGCAGAAATGGGATGGCAAGGAGACGACAATAAAAAGAAAGTTGGTGGATGGGAAAATGGTAGTGGTAAGAGTATTTTCACTTCTAAATACAAAAATATGGTATTTAAATAGAGAAATTGGTTATATTATTTTCAAAATATTCTTTTTTCTTTGCAATACCAATGGATAAGAATGGCTAAGGATAAAGTCAGAGCTAATGGTTAGATGATAGTTCAACCATGAAGACTCATCTACAGTACTTTAAGTACAGGTCCAAGATTTTAGAAATAACAAAGCCCATTTGTTATTTTAGAAATAACAACACCTAAAAATAACAGCAAAGTCAAAGAAAGTATGGGTAAATCTTACCAATTTGGACTCACAAAGAGAAAAGCAAGTCTAAGTTTTAAAAGCAAAACAAACCCCGAACGGCTCAATTAGAGAGTATTTATAGATATCTAAGTGTTTTGCTTTCAAGAATCCAAAGTAACTTCGACTACACCATGTCAATAATTTAAGCTCAGCTCATAGGAGACCTTTTAGTCAGCAGATAATGAAGGATGAGCAGGGTTCCATGAGATGCCGTCTAATGATTTTTTTTTTAAGTTTTAGCTTCTGTGCTTACTAATACATACATTGAATATAGATTCATGTTATTTTAAATGTTTTTTCCTTTAGTTTAGAGGTTCTTATCCCTAGCTACAAAACAGATTTTCATGGGGAGTTAATACCAATATGGGGCCCCCAACACAGATTAATTAAATGCAAATCTCTTGGGCTCCTGGGTGGCTCAGTCGGTTGAGCAACTGCCTTCGGCTCAGGTCATGATCCTGGGGTCCCGGAATCGAGTCCCGCATCGGGCTCCCTGCTCAGCGGGGAGTCTGCTTCTCCCTCTGACCCTCCCCCCTCTCATGTGCTCTCTCTCTCTCTCATTCTCGCTCTCTCAAATGAATAAATAAAATCTAAAAAAAATTAAAAAATAAAAAATAAATGCAAATCTCTTGGGGGAGAAGGAACCATCAGTATTTTTAAATGCTCCTCAGATGATGCAAATATGCATATAGTTTTGAAATCCACTTTTAGATTTAAATGCACACAAATTATGCATAAAAACTTGCCACTTTAAGAAAATTCTTTCATAGTAACATAGATTGACTTCAAAACTGTTTCTCCTATTTCAATGGTCATAATTCCGAATTGTCAGAGACTGACATACTGATGTTCTACTCCTTTCTAAGCTTAATCTTATGAGCTTGTTTTTATTTTCTGTTGCTACGTGCAAATTCGCTGTTCCTAGTTTGAGTTTTAGATACTCAATGAATCTCTCTCTTTTCTTAAGGAATGTAAAATGAAGGGCGTGGTCTGCACCAGAATTTATGAGAAGGTCTGAGAAAATTGTTTCCTCATTGAAGTGATATTTGATCATTTGATGTTGGAAATCAACGGTTTTCGTTGGCAAGGCCCGACTACTCTGCAATTTATCTGTTTGTTTTTGCTTTTGTCCTAATAGATCAAATAGGTAAAGGCCTAAACTGAGGATTAATCTAAAATTCAATGTTGTTTAAACATTTTCAATTTGTATGCATTTCCTTACTCTATTAAAGTATGTATATTGGCCAGACCTAAATAGTTGGTAATGTCATTTAGTTATCTGTGAAATTCTAACCTATGTTGTACTTTGTATATCGAAATGATAGTAAAGCAAGTAACTGGATAGTAAAAGGAAGTAAATGTATTGGTCTGAGTAGCCCCAGCGTGGTGGGGAGGAAGATCAGAAGTGAGACAAACTACAACTAGGAGCTGTTTTAAATCAGAGTTCTATTTCTGCTAAAAGGGCAGCCTCTACTGCTGCCAATATTTTTTTTAATTGAAGGGTAATTTATGGACAGTGAAATGCACAGATATCAAGGGTAGAGTTCAAGCCATTGTGACAAATGCACACACCCCTATAACTCACATCCTGATCAAAATAATGGTACATTTCCTTACTCCCAGAAAGTTTTCTCATGCCTCTTCCCAGTCTGTGTCCTGCCCTGTCCCACCTCCACCAGATGAAGTAGTCATTTGGTTTCTACCGTTTGGGTTTTACATCACACTTTTCTTTAATATGCAGGGTTTTATACAAATAATATTATTTTTAATTCAAAAAAAGTATACATTTTTTAAATGAAAAGGCAACCAGGAAGTTTTTTTAAATCCTGGAGAGGAAAACAACTGCTCCCATTCTGCATGGTATGAGCCATCACTTGCACATGTGAACATATCATACTCATCTGCAACCACAGTGCTCATACTGTCTTACATTCTGCTTTTTAACAAAAAGTGACTTTAACAAAGATTCTTCCACATTTCAACAGGTGCTATACCATAATTTATTATGATTCTATAATATAACGGTTCTATTTTTATGTTATATCCAGTTCGGAGTTATCACAGATTATTTGGCAAAAATTGCCTTCATGTATATATCTGATTGTGCTGAATACTTTTTCCAGGAGAGGGATTAGTAAGTCAAAGAATATGGAAAACCGGATGGTTTCTTACTGAATATTTCTGTATTGCTTTCCTCAGTGTTGTTTGTAATGAGGGATCAGCAGTATACTTGTATAGGGCAATGCATGAACACAGGTCCTATACTGATGCTAACAGCTACCGAATGTCATATGTGTGCTGTGTGCCAAGCTCATTGACTCTCTACCAGACAATTTTCATGCCATGTTGCCATATTTAATATAATTTCACACAACAACCCTATCAGGTAGATACTATTATTATCCCCATTTTATAAAAGAGGAAACAGTATAGAATAACTTGTGCAAAGTCCCCAAGTGGTAGAGAATGAAGAGAGCTCATTTGCCAAACCTTTACTCTATTTTGTCTCCTTGGTCACACCTGTCTATTAGAAACATGTCTGTTTCTTGGAAAATCTCTAAAGTGTGCCATTAGAGATTATTTTTGCCTGTCCTTGAATTTCATATAAATGGAGTCAGACATTATGTGTTCTTTCTGTTTGCCTTTTTAAACTCAGCATAGTGGTTTTGAAATTCGTCCATATTGTTGCATGCAGCAGTAGTTTGCTCTTTGATTGCTGAGTAGTATTCTATTGCATGAATATATCACAGTTCATTTATCCATTCTTAAGACAGTGGGACTGTTTCCAGTTTTTGGTCAAATATTTTTGGCCAAAACATTTTGGCCAAACATATTTTGATGAATAAAGCTGCTATAAACATTCTCGTACAAGGTTGTCGGTGGACATATGAGTTCCTTTCTTTTGGATAAATAACTGGGCATTGAGTTACTGGGTCTAGTTGATTTTTGACAGGCAGGAATAGGGACTACTGTGCCCAAGTAATAATGAAACTCTTTCAGATGTATTGTATGATTGAGCAAATGACAAACGTGCTGATGTTGTTAGGGGCCAGGATTTTCACTGTGGAAGAGAAACATACAAATATGGAATGAGGGAAGCAAGAAAGAATCGTGTGAGAATGGATTGGAATAGATGTAAATCTGTGGTTTCCAAGGCATGTGCATATATGTGCATATGTGTGTGTAATTGTGTATGCATATCTGCCTTCATTTATGTGTGTATATATACATGTATTTATGTGTATGTGTATATATACCCATATATTTCCCAGATCTATCTGCCCAAAGAGCTTAGAAGCAATGACACCTCAGTAGGAGTGAGTCCACCTACCGCCCAGACTTTGGTGTCCAATGTCATTCCCCACTAAAAGGAATGAGAGTTCCTTGGAGAAACAACTAATTCTAATGTGGGGTCAAGGTAGGTACAAAATGAGCCTGAAATATCTTGTTACACCAGAAAGTAAGGAAGGGTTTAAAAAAATAATAGAAGCATGCCAAAATATGGAGGCCAGCTTGGAGGTGTTCCCCTTGGTTTAGACTGAGACAATTTGAAAAATAAAATAATTGAGAAAAAAATAATAACTTATAAGCCACTGAAGGAAAAATAAGGACCCATGAATCCATAATGATAATAGAGAGAAAGAGAACAGTCTTCTTTATAGCAGAATACCATGGGCTGACCGGTATATGTGAAAGGAGTGCTAGAAATGGAAAGTCATCATTTTTCAAGTATCACAGTAGTTCAGGCAAGAACTGCCAGTGGTTGCTAAATCTAGAGGGAAATTTTGATTAGGAGAAGGATATTAGTTTGGTCTTAAAGTATCTCTTCACAGATTGCTCATTAGTTATGAAGAGAAATAATAGTTTTAACTATGCAGTGAAAAATTGGGCAACTCCTTGACTGGGTAATCAGCCCTGACATCACCAAAGAGGGGCAGAAGAACATGTGTTTTCAAATGTGATACCCTGAGAGGGAACATCACTTATGTAGTTTTTCAGTCCAGAATCCCTATCTGGATCTAATCATGGGGAGATACCAGACAAATTCCAAATGAGGAATGTTCTATCAAAAAAGAGGAGGGTGGTGTTGATCGAATTCTTCAAAAATGTCATCGTCACAGAAGACAAAGAAAGGCTCTGTGGAAATCTTCTAGATTAAATTACATTCAAAATATGTGATGACTAAATCCAGTAAAAAAGAGGTTGAAATATAGATGACAAATTAGGTTAGAAGTGTACTGGGATTATGCAAGAGAATATCCTTATTGTTGGGAAATACACACTGAAGTATTTGGGGGTAATAGGCCATAATATATGCAATTTACTTTAAAAAACTGAAAAAAATGATGTGTATTTGTGTGTGTGAATATATATTAGTGAGAGCAACTGATAGAGCAAATGGGGGTAAAACTTAAAAGACAAATCTGACTAGAACCTATATGTCTTTTCTTTGTAACAGTTTGGTTCGTGCAACCTTTCTGCAAGTTTAAAGTTATTTCCAAACAACAACAGAAAAATTTTTTAAAGCTATACTTGGCAAGTCCTTTTCTGCCCCTGGGCATTTAATCAACACGTGTCTGAGAGGCATGATAACCGAGGTGTGGTTTTTTATTTATTTATTTTTTGGCTCCAGCCAGATAAACCCATAAAAAAGGAGAGTTTTAAAACTGTGGTGCTATTTTTAGAGGTTGTAGTAATACGACTTGCAATAAAATGTATTCCTCAATAAACATAATTGCTCTATTACACAAAAGTCATGAGCAGTTTCTGTTTTTGTAACAGGAAAAGTGGAACTAAACTGATAATGAGAAAGACAAAATGATCATTTCAGCAGGTGCTACGTGTTGCTAGATTTGAAAAAGATTTTCAAACAACCAGAAGTCGGGGAGGGAGCTGGAGTTCTGCAGTATTTAAAAAATCATCTCGGAATATAATTTTGATGCTCAATTCTTCTTGATAGAACCAAAAGTTCTTTTTGAAAGAACATGGGGTGGTAATTAATATAACATAATAAAAAAAAAAGAGAGAGAGAGAGAGAAAGAAAGAACATAGGGGCTAAGAGCAATGAGACTGCCTAGTTCAAATTCCAATTTGCTGCTTACTAGCTACGTGTCAGTGGGCAAGTAACCTCTCTGTCCCTCAGCTCCTTTATCGTAAAAATGGGGATAATAATAGAACACACCTCAACGAGTTGTGAGGGATAAACAAAATATGTAATGTCCTTGGCATTGGAAAAGCATTAGAGAAATGTCTTTTGTTATTATTATTTACCTAGTAACATACATGACGTTCAAATAGGTCATTTTATTCTACCTCAAAATGAAGAGAATTCACAAGATCTCAGAGCTGCTGATACTGATTTGCACACAATGTAGCTAAATTTATTAAGAATAGTATTTACATAGGGGCGCCTGGGTGGCTCAGTTTGTTGAGCGACTGCCTTCGGCTCAGGTCATGATCCTGGAGTCCCGGGATCGAGTCCCACATCGGGCTCCCTGCTCAGCAGGAAGTCTGCTTCTCCCTCCGACCCTCTTCCCTCTTGTGCTCTCTGTCTCTCATTTTCCCCCCCCAAAAAAAAAAAAAAAAAAATTTAAAAAAAAAAAAAAAAAAGAATAGTATTTACATAAGCGTAAAAACAACCAAGAAACCTACTTACTAGCACACCACTGCCTGGAAGTAGCACAGTACTTAGATTTCACCAGTAACAGTTTTAGCTTCATGTTGACTGTAATATTTCTAATTTTTCACTAAGTCACTCTGGCTTAGCTTTTGGGAATATTTCTTCTAAACTAAGTGGTACCTCTTTAAATATGGTTGCACATTAGAATCGTCTGGAAGTTTTAAGTATCCCAATACGAAGATTGTGCCACAGACCCACTAAGTCATAATCTATGGGTGACGGGTGAGACCCAGGCATCAGTATTTTTCAGGTGATTCCAATGTGTGGCCAGTTTGGGAACCACTGTGCCAAAGTCTTCCAAAGTTAGAAATTTAATGTAGGCTAGTATCACGTTGCCATCCATTAAAACGGAGCGAAAGGTCATCAAAATCAGGAGTACAAAATGTCCCCAACGTGACACAAAAT